AAAAGGAGAGAGAAGAGAGGAGAGAGGAAAGAGAGAGAGATTTTGGGAATGTTGAGCGAGTGCATGGGGAAATTTTTAACCAAATTGAGAGATTGTGGCGGGGGTTCAATGCTAAAGTGGGAAAACTTTGGGGGAGTTAGGTGAATTTTGGGGTGCCGGGGTAAAAGAAAAAGGGGGGCCTTTAATTGAGTTATTGAGAAAGGGGTTTGGTAATAATAATACATCTTTTTGAAAAAGAGGATAAATTAAAAACAAGGTATGATATAGCACAAATGGGGAAATAGTTTTTTTTAGATTATGTATTGGGGGATAAAAGGTTGATGGGTAGGGAACGATATATTGGGGCATTATTTAGTTGTACTACAGTTTTTGAGTAAGAGGCCCGGGCACAGACCGGCCCGGGGGCGTTTTACCCCCCAAAAACCCCTCCAGGTAAACTCCAGGGAAGAGGTAAAATTGGGCAAAAAGGGAAAAAGGCAACAAGAAGTAAAAGAGGTAGAGTGTATAAACTAAAGGAAAAGGGGACTAGTGCAAATGATATTGGGGGGGGGGGGTTTAAGAGGGGGGAATAGTTTTAAAAAAAAAAATTTTTAGAAGTGGGCAAAATTTGTGGCTATGGAGGGTGGGTGCAGGGGGATGTTTTGGGGGAATGATGAAGTAAAGGGTGTGAAAAAGAAAAAAGGTACTTATGAGGGTTTTTACAAAACAAAATGTATATGGAGAGTAAAAGAAAGGTGAAGAGATTGGTGAGAGAGTGCAAAAGGAGAGCAGATGATAGAGTGGGAGAGGAGCACTCAAGATACTTTGATGAAAATAAGGAAAAAATTTTGGAGTGAGATAAACAAGTTAAGAAAGCCTAGGGAACAAATGGATTTGTCAGTTAAAAACAGAGTATGGGAGTAGTAGATGGGGAGCTGGAGGTATTGGGTTGATGGCAGGAATATTTTGAACTTTTAAATGTCGAGGAAGAAAGGGAGGCGGTAATTTCATGCACTGGCCAGGGAGGTATAACATCTTTTAGGAGTGAACAAGAGCAGGATGCAAGTGTGGGGGAGGTGCTTGAGGCATTACGTAGAATGATAGGGTCATGTTCCTGTCAGCTGGAGCTGACAGGATAATGACAGAAATGTTAAAAGCAGGGGGGAATATAGTGTTTGAGTGGTTGGTACTTTTGTTTAATAAATGTATGAAAGAGGGGAAGGTATGTAGGGATTGGCAGAGAGCATGTATAGTTCCTTTATATAAAGGGAAGGGGGACAAAAGAGATTGTAAAAATTATAGAGGAATAAGTTTACTGAGTATACCAGGAAAAGTGTATGGTAGGGTTATTATTGAAAGAATTAGAGGCAAGACAGAGTAGGACTGTGGATGAGCAAGGAGGCTTTAGAGTGGGTAGGGGATGTGTAGATCAAGTGTTTACATTAAAGCATATATATGAGCAGTATTTAGATAAAGGTAGGGAAGTTTTCATTGCATTTATGGATTTAAAAAAGGCATATGATAGTGGATAGGGGAGCAATGTGGCAGATGTTGCAAGTGCAGTGGTCCCTCAATTATCGCGGGACTGTTATCGAAATAGACGATTTTCGAATCAATTTTCCCCATAAGAAATAATGTGAATACAATTAATCCGTTCCTGATACCCAGAAGCATTAAAACCAAAAAAATTTTTACATGAAATATAGGTGTAGTACATAAACAATACAATGGCACATGATGAATGAAACATTAACAGCATAACACTTACCTTTATTGGGTGTAAGGCTTGGGATGTAAATGCTGCAGTGAAGAGGCAGTGGAGATGTCCTGTCTAAGGGCAGTGTGTGGTGTAAATATTATGCAGAGAATTTGGAGTGTGGAAATTAGGTGTGGAGTTAATAAAAGTATTAGTCAGAGGGCTGAAGAGGGGGTTCTTGAGGTGGTTTGGTAATTTAGAGATATTGGGTCAAAGTCGAATGACATGGAGAGTGTACAAATCTGTGGGGGAAGGAAGGCGGGGTAGGGGTTGTCCTCGAAAAGGTTGGAGGGAGGGGGTAAATTAGGTTTTGTGGGCGAGAGGCTTGGACTTCCAGCAAGCATGCGTGAGCATGCTAGATAGGAGTAAATGGAGACGAATGGTTTTTGGGATCTGATGAGCTGTTGTAATGTGAGCAGGGTAATGTTTAGTGAAGGGATTCAGGGAAACCGGTTATTTTTATATAGCCGGACTTAAGTCCTGGAAATGGGAAGTACAATGCCTACACTTTAAAGGAGGGGTTTGGGATATTTTCACTCTGGAGGGATATGTTATATATCTTTATATATGCTTCTGAACTGTTGTATCTGGGCGTCTCTGCAAAAACAGTGATTATGTGTGAGCGAGGCGAAAGTGTTGAATGATAATGAAAATATTTTCTTTTTTACGGATTTTCTTTCTTTTTGGATCACCCTGCCTCAGTGGGAGACTGCCGACTTGTTGAAAAAAAAAAAAGTTACGTAGCACATTTATTATATAATAAACGTGTTAAACATGAAGAAAACCCAGAGAGGTGTTATATACATGTTTGCACGTACATGTGTAGTGTGACCTAAGTGTAAGTAGAAGTAGCAAGACTTACCTGAAATCTTGCATGTTTGAGACAGAAAAAAAGACACCAGCAATCCTACCATCATGTAAAATAATTGCAGGTTTCAGTTTTATATTTGCTTGGCAAGTTGGTAGTACCTCTCTGGGTGATTGCTGTCTACCAACCTACTACCTAGGATATCCCTTAATACAGACAGTAATTTAGGTGTAATCCTTTGAGCTTTATATGGCTGACAAGTGCTACATATCCAGAAATGGGTGACACATGAGTTAGCTTTTAAGTGTTCTTGTCCAAGTTTCACAGTGCCACCCTTATGCTTGTACGTGCTTGGGATTATGGTTTTTTCTAGGGTTTTTTCTAATGAACATTTTCCTTGAGCTTTTTGTCCCAAAGAATGTAGATGGTTTCATGTCTCTGATCTCCCTCTTGTCTCATAGTTCCATAACTTCTTTTTATTAGGGGTTAAAATTCAGGAACCCTTTGTTTTACCATTCCTAGAGTTTTTCCCAGGTCCTTTTTTTTTTTCTATTCTCTTCCAAATGTATTCTCATTCAGTCAGCTACACACAAGACTACATAATTTACTTATATTGTCAGGTTATTAATTAAACTATTTTGAATAATATGGGACCCAACACTGATTTGTAGGGAAGTGCTGAATACCTAGGCAATTCACAAACTAGTGAAGGGCATTAAGAAATAAATATAGATATTATCTATAATTGAAGGTGTACTGTATTTGTTCCCATCCTTTCACTGTGTAAATTGATGATAAATGATCTGTTTCATTAACTAAAGGTTGTAAATTAATCTGTTTCATTAACTGAAGGTTGTTGATTAATCTGTTTCATTAACTAAAGGCTGTAGATTAATAATTTGTATGAATTTTTTTTAAGAAAGCTTAGCAGTGTTTTTTATTTGTTCCATTATACCTCAAACAATGCTGAGAATTAATATATAAATCTATATTTACTTTTAGTTTCATTGTAAAATGTATGTTTTTTATTAATTCAACAAAATTGTGTGTATAAGATACAATTTTTTATTGTACATAAACTGTTTGTACACTAGTAAATTGGTTCCAGAAACTTTAGCCCTTTAACTGGGTTTGACATGCTAGCATACATAATTTTTTGTACCCATGAATCTGCTACCTGCCAATATTTTTTTACCTCAAGGCAGCTCTTTGGGTCTTCTTCCATCTATTCATACATTTGAAAAAAAATCTAAGGTCAGCAGGGTGCACACAGTGTATCATGGTTAACTACTCAGGGGATGACTGTACGTCTGTTGCACTAGTATAAATCACTAGCAAATGTAAACAAAGGAACCAGGAGCTGTTGTTCCATCACCCTACCAGCAAACAGTGTGCACAAGTTGCTCAAATGACATGTTCAGTCCAAATTTTAGAATTTCATGATACTAACTGGAATTCATCCACAAAGCACACTAGGTATATAACCCAGGATAACCCAGTAAAGTCAAATGTGAATAATTTCCATGTTTTGATGAGTAATACACTCAGAAATAATTGTAATAATAGAAGTACACATAGCCTTAAAGACCAAAATAGTAAAAAAATATTAAATGACAATTATAAAGCACATATAATCCAGTAATATTACTTATTTCCGTGTTATGAAAATATTACATTCAGGAACAGTTGTAATGTTGTAAGTATTTCTTGTACATAGCCTTAGAAAACCAAAATAGTAAAAAAAAAAAAAGTAATTCTGTATATGTATATACTGATTATTCCAAGTGACACAATGTTTGAAGTGTTAAAACACCTTGAAACATGTCTAATATTATAAAAAAAAACTAGTAAATATAGTGTTAAACATTAAAAGCAATTAAAATATAAGATAACCATACATTAGCATTAATATATTGTACAATGTAAACATCGCTGGCAGTTTAATGCCAGTGTTACTGGTTAGTGATAGTTTTTATCACCAGCTTCAACATGCCATAAAATCGTAATTTTTTATCAGATTCCACTTATTTTAGTCTTGTTGGATTCAGAATAATTAACTATCAAACTATAAGATTTTTTTTTTCTTTCAACATGTTACTCAAACACCCCCCACCCCCACCCCCAAATTTGAATGGTTAATTTACAGTACATCATTTATGTTCATTATATGTACCATGGGGAAACATTTGTTAACACAGTACAGTGGACCCCCGACTTACGAACAGCTCCCAACTCAAACAATTATGTAAGTGTATTTTTGTAAGTGCTTCTGTAAGTGTATTTTTGGGGGTCTGAAACGGACTAATCTAATTTACAATATTCTTTATGGGAGCAAATTCGTTTGGTAACGGCACCCGAACAGCCTTCTGGAACGAATTAATATCGTAAGTCGGGGGTCCACTGTATTGTGAAATTTGGTTATTAAACCTTGTTTGTTTATACATGCACATTTTATAGCCTACCAAAAAACCAACTCCAGAGAAAATAATATCAACCAAGGCAAAATCTTCATCCCCATCACTGGGCAAGACTCCCGAGAAGAAGCAGGTTGACCCGGGTATAAAAGTTGACAACAATACGATGCCTGTGTCAAATGTTAAGATAGATTATGTGGAGAGAGATGCGGAATCTCTCCTGGCAGTATTCCTCTACATCAAAAATATTGACAAAGAGAGGTCTTTTGTTACTTTTACTGAAGATTCTATATCAGCACGCTTTTCGACAAGGTATGTATTGTACTGTATATCAGTAATATATCAGTATGTATAAGGTTTTCAGGGTTTTATTCCTGGAAAATTTTGGTCATCTTTACTCTAATATGATTCTGAAACATAGTTGTTAGTTATTAATAATGTTGCTCTCTTCAATTTACAGTATTCTTTTTAGTTTGCCCTTCATTTTGTTTTATTTATTTTTCAGCGATAGTCGTTTTCTACAGCAGAATGGAGGCGGTACAGAAGATACTATATTTGAGTGGGAATTAGCCCTCAAGGACAAAGTTGTACTAGATGAATGTAAATTCAGAGTCAATCCAAATAATATTGAAATTAAATTAAAAAAGCAAGTTAATAAAAAATGGGGATCTTTGACTGCTGTCACACCAGACTCGGGTAAGAATTCATAACCTTCGTTTTTGAGCCTACTGAATGTTCTGTAAGTTACTAAAACTATTTGTTATTCGTAAAAACTACTTAAAATATGATATTGTCCAGTATATTATGAAAAATTTCCAGTTCCATAAATTGACATCTTCATTGAGCTTTAATATTTATTTTATAGATTTAAGATGTACATAACTAAAGAATATATTTCTTAATATTATTTGGCCGTTCAGTAATTGTTATATTACAGTAGGAACCAAGGAACCACTTAAGATGTATGAATTGGTACCCGAAAACCACTTAACTTTGTGATTTGCATCTTACTTATTGCCTGGTTAATAAATTCTTAAGGGTAAATTTTGGATTGGTTCCAGGATGTTACAGTCAAGCCCAAAATCAGCCGGCATATCACTGTTTCCCACAAACACTATTTTATTAGAACATTACTTTATTATGTGCAAAATACATGATGTAATAATTTTATTACAGGGTAGGACTTCATTTGCTACATATTTTTTTCATATTTAAAAACTTCTGAAGAAGTTTATTTAATGCTTTATTATGTCATAGAAGTACATGGTAGTGTTTTAACTCGACTTTATTTACCATAGCATACACAGTTTTTAAAAATCCACGCCTATGATAACTGAAACATTCAGGTAATTATTCCATTTTTTAGCAGTAATTTTTTAAAGCTGTTAGCTGTCTTGAGGAGGATTAGCCAGAATTAGCTTTGCTGTGGTTGAGGTTGCAATATAATGCTGAATGTTTTCTTTGTTCAGGTTCTAACAAACCACTTGGGAATAATAATCTTCAGGATTACCTCTATTTTTTGCCAGGAAGATGCTTATTTTTCACTTGAAGCATATGATGCCTCCTTCCATATTTTTTCTCAGGCAGTTCCCATTTTCTATAGGCATAAGGTAGGAATGAGTAGACAACATATTCCTAAGCAGTAAGAAAGCTTGTGATATAGTATCAGCATGGATGTGGACACTGATTCGGCATGAGAGTAATGAAGAAGTGGGTTCAGGTGAATAGCGACAGAGGAGACAAACTCCATATGTGTATTCATACATACTTATCTTACATGTCAGTCAGTAAAAAGTTAGGTGGGACCAAGAGCTGGAGCTCACTGCCAGTCAAATAGGCACCTGCAGGCCTTATTCCTGGGTTCAGTTGCGCATGTTTTAAAAATGACAGCATGACTTGTGTCCAAGGGTTTAAAATTAGTTGGAACCAAGAGTCAGAGCTTGTATTCAAATAGGTTTTTGCAAATTGGTAATTACAGTGGTACCCCGAGTTTCGGACAACTCCCAACTCAAACAATTGTATAAGTGTATTATTGTAAGTGCTTTTGTAAGTGCATTTTTGGGGATCTGAAACGGACTAATCTAATTTACGTTATTCCTTATGGGAGCAAATTCATTTGGTAACGGCACTCAAACAGCCTTCTGGAACAAATTATGGCCGAAACTCGGGGTACCACTGTACAGTGGACCCCCGCATAACGATGGCATCACATAGCGATTATTTCGCATACCGCTTACTTTAATCGCAAAATTTTTGCCGCGCATACCGATTAAAAACCCGCTCACCGATTTTCGTCCGAGACGCGTCCAATGTGCGCCCTCACCCAGCCTCACATGTGCCGCCCGTGCCATTGTTTACCAGCCAGCCTCTGCGCTAACATCCAAGCATACACTCGGAATATTTCGTATTATTACAGTGTTTTCGGTGGTGTTTCTGGAAAATAAGTGACCAGGGGCCCCCAAAGAAAGCTTCTAGTGCCAACCGTACACCAATAAGGGAAAGAATACCCATTGAAATGAAGAAAGAGTCTTTGATAAGTATGAAAGTGGAGTGGTATTGCCGCCCTATTTCAAGTTGTACAAGAAACCCCAATCAACCATCGCTACTTTTGTGGGCACCAAAAAGACAAATCAAGGAAGCTGTTCTTGCCAAAGGTTTAACTGTGTTTTCGAAACAAAGATCGCAAGTGATGGAAGATGTTGAGAGACTCTTATTGGTGTGGATAAATGAAAAACAGCTAGCAGGAGATAGCGTCTCTAAAGCGATCATAATGTGAAAAGGCTAGGAAGTTGCATGAGGATTTATTAAAAAAATGCCTGCAACTATGATGATGTGAGTGAATTTAAGGCCAGCAAAGGTTGGTTGAGAGATTTAAGAAGCGTAGTGGCATCCATAGTGTGATAAGGCATGGTGAGGCTGCCAGTTCGGACCACAAGGGGCTGAAAAATATGTGCAGGAATTCAAGGAGTATATAAAAAATGAAGGACTGAAACCTAAAACAAGTGTTTAATTGTGATGAAACAGGCCTGTTCTGGAAGAAAAATGCCAAGCAGGACCTACATTACTCAGGAGAAAAGGCACCCCCAGGACATAAGCCTATGAAAGACAGGCTTACTCTTCTCATGTGTGCCAATGCTACTGGTGTTTGCAAAGTGAACCCTTTTATTAGTGTATCACTCTGAAACCCCCAGAGCGTTCAGGCAAAAGAATGTCCTCAAGGATAATTTGTGTGTGCTGTGGAGGGCAAACAGTAGGCATGGGTCACTAGGGAATTTTTCTATAACTGGTTACACCATGCATTTGCCCCCAATGTGAAAGAATTACCTAACTGAAAAGAAATTAGAACTTAAGTGCCTCCTGGTGTTAGACAATGCCCCTGGTCATCCTACAGACGGGGCAGAGCGACTTTATGGGGACATGAGCTTCATTAAGGTGAAGTTTTTGCCTCCTAATACCACTCCTCTCCTGCAGCCATGGACCAGCAGGTTATTTCCAACTTCAAGAAACTGTACACAAAAGCTCTGTTTGAAAGGTGCTTGTAAATGACCTCAGAAACTCAACTGACTCTAAGAGAGTTTTGGAGAGATCACTTTAATACCCTCAATTGTGTAACCTTATAGGTAAGGCTTGGGAGGAAGTGACTAAGGGGACCTTGAACTCTGTTTCGGAAGAAACTGTGGCCAGAATGTGTAGACAAAGGGATTTTGAAGGGTTTGAGGCAAACCCTGAGAATCCTGTGCCAGTTGAGGAATCCATTGTGGCATTGGGAAAGTCCTTGGGGTTGGAGGTTAGTGGGGAGGATGTGGAAGAGTTGGTGGAGGAGGAAAAATGAAGAACTAACCACTGATGGGGCTGATAGATCAACTTCAGAGCAAAAAGGCCAGACCTGGGGAAACTGTTCAGAGGAGGGGAGAGAGAAATTGAAGAAGTTGCCTACTACAAAGATAAAGGAAATCTGTGCAAAGTGGCTTGAAGTGCAAACCTTCAGGGATGAAAATCACCCTCACACAGCTATTGCAAGCCGTGTTGGCAACCTTTTACACTGACAATGTTGTGAAACACTTTAGGGAAGTGATAAAGGAACGAGAGGTACAGGCCACTATGGACAGATATCTTGTGCGAAAGAAGTCCGTGACTCTGAGCTGGCCCTAGTGGCATTAAAAAAAGAAGGGAAGTAACCCCAGAAAAGGACTTACTACCTCAAGCCTAATGGAAGGGGATTTCCCCTTCTAAACAGTAAGAAGATAATGCTCTCCCCTCCTCCATCCCATCAATCATCCCCAGATCTTCAATAAAAGTAAGTGTCATGTAAGTGTGCATGCCTTTTTCAGTTTGTGTGTATTAAAATTAATATTTCATGTGGTAAAAAAAATTTTTTTTTCATACTTTTGGGTGTCTTGCACGGATTAATTTTATTTCCATTATTTCTTATGGGGAAAATTCATTCACATAACGATTATTTCGCATAACAATTACCCCTCTTGCACGGATTAAAATCGTTAACCGGGGGTCCACTGTACTTGAAAAGTAGAAGCAGAGATGATAGATGAAGTACTGTAGCAGGAGGTACAGCAAGTGATGGAGTACCTCAAGTATCTGTTGGGCCCCACATTATTCCTGGTGTACAGCATATAGTATATGACCTGGTTACAGGAATTTTCCTACATAGGCTTATTTACAGATGGTGCAGAAATAATAAGAATATACATTAAAGAGGATGAAAGTATCCTCAGGAAGAATTGACAGACTGATACAGTTAATACTTTAAGTTACATAAGCAATTCCATATTATTGGTAAAGTTGTAGGCTTTTTTCACTAAAGAGGATTTTGACACTCCGAGAAGTATTGCTCTGAAGTGGAATTGGAGCAAACAATGATATCTTATCAGCTGTTTTAAAGTACTACAGGTAAAACCAGTCAGAGATGCATTACGGATTACTCAAGTACCCCAATGCCAGTATCAGCTAACTGGGCAACTCTGCATCAACATCAACACAAGAACCACAGCCACTCACCTCAGCCATTAAGGCCACATCAAAACACACACCACACACACACACACACACACACACCCCCACACACACACAAAAAAAAAAAAAAAAAAACAAAAAACACAAAACACCATAAAACACAAAACACCATAAAAAACACACACACACATAAACTTACATAAAACACACACATAAAACATGCATGTGGAAAAACACACACAAACACATACACACACACAAAACACACACACATAAAACACACACACACACACAAAACCACACACACACTAAAACACACAGAAAACACACACACACACCACACACACAAAACACACACAACACACACACAAAACACACACAACACACCCCACATAAAACACACACAACACCCCACAAAACACACAGAAAACACACACAACACACAGAAAACACAAAACACACAAAACACACACGAAACACACACACGAAACACACACGATACACACAAAACACACAAAACACACACACACACACTTCACACACACACACTTCACACACACACCACACACACTTCACACACACACCACACACACTTCACACACACACCACACCACTTCACACACACACCACACACACTTCACACACACACCACACACACTTCACACACACACACTTCACACACACACTTCACACCTTCACACACACACACACACACACACACACACACACACACACACACACACACACACACACACACACACACAACACACACACAGCACACACAACACACCCTCAGCCCATTAAGGCCACATCAAAACACACACCCCACACACACACAGTGAGTGAGTACACCCCATAAAACACACAGAAAACCCCACACACACACACACACACACAAAAAAACACACAAAACACATACACTTCACACCACACACTTCACACCCCTCACACAACACACACACTTCACACACACTCACACTTCACACACACACACTTCACACACACACACACTTCACACACACACACACTTCACACACACACACTTCACACACACACACTTCACACACACACTTCACACACACACTTCACACACACACACTTCACACACACACACTTCACACACACACTTCACACACACACACTTCACACACACACTTCACACCCCCACCCCTTCACACACACACTTCACACACACACTTCACACACACACACTTCACATACACACTCTTCACATACACCACTTCACATACACACACACACACACCCCACTTCACACACTTCACACACACACTTCACACACTTCACACACACACACACTTCACACACACACACTTCACACACACACACTTCACACACACACACTTCACACACACACACTTCACACACACACACACCTCACACACACACACCTCACACACACACTTCACACACTTCACACACAACACCACACACACACACACACGGGGCCAGGAGCTGAGTATCGACCCCTGCAACCACAATTAAGTGAGTACACACACACACACCAGGCCTAGTGTCTAATCGACATGTGCCTTGGACAAAATGGTAACTAACACACACACACACACACACACACACACACACACACACACACACACACACACACATGCACATACAACAGGCTTAGTGTCTAATCGACATGTGCTTAGGACCAAATGGTAACTAACACACACACACATACTACAGGCCTAATGTCTAATCGACATGTGCCTAGGACAAAATGGTAACTAACACACACACACACACACACACACATACTACAGGCCTAGTGTCTAATCGACATGTGCCTAGGACAAAATGGTAACTAACACACACACGCATGCACATACAACAGGCTTAGTGTCTAATCGACATGTGCCTAGGACCAAATGGTAACTAAAACACACACACACACACACACACACACATGAAACACACATAAAATACACAACCCCCCCCCCACACACACACACACACACACCAAACCATGCATACACAACCACACACATACACCTATCCCAACAAGCAATGGTAACTAGTATGTAAGGTAAGATAAACTGTAATACATATGTTGTACCTAGTAGAATATTTAGGGAAATAAGTGGCAAATTTGGAAGTCTTAAGGCGTTGATTTTCAAGAATTTACCCCATGAATTTTAAGGTGGTTTACTGTAACCATGTTCTGTGCCAGATACATATATTACAAGCCTCCACAGTAAGTATTAACAATAACAAGTTTGGTTCATGCATATACTAATTGTATATTCATGTGTAAAAGTTAACTTAGGTGTTTATTGTAATGTGTACTTTTAGCTATTAATGAAATTAAAGAATAAGGAAAAGTATGTTAACCAGAATCTGGTATAAGCTAATTGCATTTGTGATTTTTCAAAATGTGAATGATGTTTCTTGTGTTTGACGGATTTAACCCTTAAACTGTCCAAACGTAGATCTACGTTTTTTTTTTTTCAACTTTTGAAAGTATGTAAAAAAAGTAGATCTTTTCTTTTTTTACATTTGTAAATGTGTACAAAAAACTTTGATCTACATTTTTTTTTATACTTACATGTATTTGAAAATATGTAAAAAAAACGTAGATCTACTTTTGGAGCACTACGCATGTGAACATAGATCTGCTTGGACAGTTTAAGGTTTAAAAAATATTTTTCTTGAGTTTTAGTTTTTTTTTCTCCCTATGGTTTTCATGTTTTATCAGGACAATGTTTGAATCACCAGTAATTTGCTGCTGTCATTTCCATCTTACAGGGGCATTGTAAGGTCATTTACATCTTACAGGGGCATCATAATGTGTCATTTCCATCTTACGGGGGCATTGTAATGTGGTGTTACTTCCGTCATTTTTAGTTAAGAATGAGAAATATAGCTAAAGTAGAAGAATTGGAAAATATTTACTTTTGTGGCATGTGTGGTAATGAATCTGATATAATTTCTAATTCATTTAATACGGGTCACAAAAGATTGTTGCTTGCAGAAAGAAAATTAAAACAACATTTTGGTCCGTCCTGAAACTTTGTCAAGTCGCATCTTGACAGTGGTCCAAAATTGACTAAAATGTCATTTTAACTTTCTTTTTCCTGCCAAGGAATTGTATAATGACTCTTCTTTATAAAGGTCATGGAGGATCTTGTGCAAAACAAGCAAATTTTAGTGTTTATTTCTTGTATAAATCAGGGTTGCTTGAGAAGTGATTAGCAGTAAATACAATATTTACTCTTAAATTCTCCTTGAGTTTCCACTATATAATGAGATAATCAAACATGAATCAAAAAGGCTACATGCTCTTTCTCTATCTTATTTTAATATCTGTGTTTATGGGATTATTATTTTTCCAAGACTTATGAAATTTTTTGTAGCGCAGTACTAGGGAAGAGCAGGGAAAGAGGCACTTTTTTGGTTTATACATCTTAATATTCCATTCATTTTCCTAAAAATTACCCTAATTTATGATATTTGTCATCCTGATCATTTTCTTGGAAAGTATTTTGGGTGGTTCCTACTGTGATGAGAGAATTCAGATATTTTATTTTCAGTATATTGTTCTTTCAAAATATTTATTCAAATTTTCAGCTTCAAGCAATAAAGTTGCAAAAAACATGTGGATGTCAGCAGGCAAGACAGAAACTCCAACTTTGTCTAATATTCCTCCTGCTCCACCTATACCACCATCTCTGGAAAATAAGGTATGCTGTATAAGTTATGTTCCCTTCCCTCCTGGACCATTTATTTTGTTTATACCTACTTGTTTCAGAAATAACTATGCTCATGGTGTCCTGTCTTCAGCGATCAGTTTGTCTTGCATTGTAGGGTTTAATACTTTTTTTCTGGTGGTTGTAACATTTACTACTGCCTGCTAGATTACATTTCAATGTTTTATTTCTATGATGTCCCGTAGCTCGATCGCTAGCGCACTTGGCTCACACACACTGAGGCCCAGAGTTTGAATCTCTGGTACGGCTGGAAAACATTAGGATGTGTTTCCATAAGGCACCTGCTGCCCCATGGATTGCATCCTGGGACAAAACTGACCTAATTTGCCCAAAATGCTCTGCATAACAAAACACTTTCTATATAGTAGTATGTCATTGATGTCAATTAGGCCTGTATACCTTGTACATGTAGAAATAGATATTATATTGTTATACGTATTATATTATCATTTGGCGCCTTATGCTTCTTAATTTATAACTATGGCATGTTCCATTTGTTGGTGCTAAAAAGGTCTGTTTATTTATTTGGGATGTATCATGCTGCTGTAGTGTGAGCCAGGTAACATTTGTGAAGAGATAAAGGAAATCCAGCTAACCACATTTGAATCCTGGAGGTGGAAAATACAGGGCCTGCAGTCAAAACAGTGGGTGTGAATGTTTCTGTTCAGTCATTTAAATTGCACTTCTGGAAAGACAGCTAGAGAATGAATGATGATGGTTTCATTATAATAATGGTATACAGTAGTGATGAGTAAATGAGTGAGACACTTGCAACAGTTAGAAACCTTCATTGTAAAAACATTTTGTTTGCTCTGGAAGCTTCTTCTGTCAAATAGTGGAAAGGTATAGGTGAGTTAATCAATCTTGAAGTAGTAGTTTTGAGACGGTCAGACCCTCATCCTTGTCAGAAGTGAGGTGCTGAATTTGGAGATGGTGTTTTAGGAGGCAGGGTTCTTTACTAGAATTAAGACCATAAGAATTTAGGGGTTCTTCATTGAGCGTACTGGCCCATACTAGGTAGATCTGCAATTCTTTTGCTTTTCACTTATAGCTGATGGTTGAGCAGTAAAATTGTGGAAGATGTTATCCATACTAAGATACTATGGTGTTGCTTTGTCAGACAAGCATTGTATTAATGGTATATGATACTGACAAGTGCAACAGTTGAGTATCTATATGTGGGAATGTTTTGCATACTTTGCATTATTCTTCCGTTAAATACAGAGATGGCTAAATATTGGAGACGGCAGTCACAGTGCAGAGGTTATACTTGTCTGTAAATTTACTCTTAATGTATGACTGCACATACATGTCTGACTATAGTTTTGCTCATTATGCTGAACTTTATTATCTATATTCCAAATATTATATTAACTTCAAATTCAGCTGTCTGTATGCTGTGATTTCTTAAATAACACATTTGATACAGTAGATTTTTTCTTGTCTCCATCTCTCTTCCCTGTTTATCTGTTTTACCTCTGCAGTACTGTGTGACATGACTGTTATGGGTTTAGCACTAACGTGAATATAATGATATACTGTACCAGAATACAGCAGGGCCCCGCTATACGCCGTTTCACCTTACGGCTTTTCTCTAATATGGCGATTTCAAATTATGACCAAAACTTGCTATACGGCGAGCAGTCTTTCAAATATGGCGCGCCCTGCCTGGTTTGTTTACATTCTCCGTGAGCACATCTTTCTATTATGTCTGGAAATTTTCCAAAATTTCAAGGGTTTTAAAGTTATTGAATGTTTTATATGTACTCTGATAATTATACTTGTGTACCTGTACCTAAATATACTTTCACACTGTGCTGGCATGCAGGTACACATTAAAATCACTAAGAGTCTCTTCTCTTGAAGCCATGTAATTGGGCGCATTAAATGTTATATATATAATATAGACATTTCCATTAATCCGTCTATGATATTTTTTTTAATTATATAATAAACATGCTATGTAAAATATAAACATGATACATACGCCCACGGTATAAAAATTGACATAAATATGAGATTTGTTTACCAAGCGGTTTGTAGGAGTGTCGGAAGAATTACGTTTTCTCTAGTCAAACTCCAGTTACTTAACTGTAGAAAAATATTCCTTTCATATGCCTTCACTCTATAGCCATTTATGACCCTTGTGGGTTTAGCACTTCTTTTTTATGATTCTAATAATAATTTGTAATAATAATAGCTTGTAATAATAATAATTTGTCAAAGCATCATTCCTTCTAAAAATTACATGAGAATGGAAGTGTTGGTCTTTATTTATTCTACTGTATCACTGTGGAGACAACTTGTACACAATATAAGGTGTTTGTATGTATATCAATCATAATCAGATGGTTTGTTTACATAAGTACTCTGTGGTTCTGTCATCTCACTTGTTCTCTCTCTCTTGTTTGTTTGTTTTTATCTCACTTACTTGCCTCTCACTGTACATTAAGACTACAAATATTTTAAGGTAAATAATGAGTGTGCTGTATATGCATTTTATCGCTCTATGGAGCTTTAACCCTTTGACTGTTTTCGACGTATAAATACGTCTTACGAGCCAATGTTTCTGACGTATATATACTCAATAATTCTAGCGGCTTCAAATCAAGTGGGAGAAAGCTGGTAGGTCCACATGTGAGAGAATGGGTCTGTGTGGTCACTGTGCACCACATAAAAAAAATCCTGCAGCACACATTGCGTAATGAGAAAAAAAAAACTCTGATCGTTTTTTTGGAATAAAACGCCGACTTTGAGGTGTATTTTCGTATAGTATTTATCGTTGTATTCGCGTTTTCATGGCCTTAGGTGATAAAATGGAAAACATATTACAGAAATAGAGATGATTTTCATTACTTTGACGATGAAAACGACCTTGAAACTGAGCTCAAAGTAGCGGAAATGTTCGATTTTTACCAATGTTCAGGAGTAAATAAATCACACACCACACGTCCAATACACATCAATTGGGGAGTGAAATATTCTTTCACTAGTGCACTGATATTATTTATACCATTTTTACAATAATGCAGTAGTCTGCATAACAGTAAATTTTGTATATTTTTGTATGAATAAAAAATCAAAATAGAAAGCAATAATAATATAAGAGGGGCCTAGAGATGTGACTAATGAACAGAGCATATGTTATTTTAGTGCCACGAATGTCTGCCTTGTTTATTCTGGACCCTATTTTGAAATTGGCATCTTTTTTAGTTTGCGTGAAATTGGCCAAATTGCCAATTTCTGACCACCATATTGGGTAGTCCAAATTAGTAAATGGGAGGTTTCTTGTACTCAGCTGATAGATAAAATGGAGTTCTAAAGAAATAGCTATGAGTTTGGTCAACTGGAAGAATGGAATTGGCTGAAAATAGGGCTCAAAGTCGGCGAAATCGCCGATACGCATATGTCGCCGAGACCGCTAACTTCACGGGAGCATAATTCCATGAGTTTTCGACCAAATTTTGAACTTTTGGTGTCATTACCATGAAAAGATTCTCTATCATTTCATAAGAAAAAATAATTTTTTTTTTTTTTTTTTTTTTTTCAAAAATTGAGCGACATAGAATGACAGTTTCAGAAAGGGGCCTGAAACAGTCAAAGGGTTAAATGTTGTTGAAGGTGGGGTGGCCAGGCAGGCTACCGTACCTCCCACAAGATTTTCTACAAATAAATACTTTTCACCTCTCACCCTACATTGACCATTAAGATTACAAATATTTTAAGGTAAGGAATGAGTGACTATACGTGCATTTTATCATTCTAGTTCGCTTTATGCGTCATAGTATATTATGTGTGGGTGGGGTGGCCAGGAGGGCTACTACACCTGACTTCTTACAGTAAATACTACTCACCTTTTGCCCTACATTAAGACTGCTAATATTTTGAGGTAAATAATGAGTGTACTGTGTGTGTGTTTTACTTTATATTTTTTTTAATGCCTAGTTCTATTGCTAACTTAATATATGTTAGTGTAAATTTACCTGGCATTGATATGCATTTATAAGTGGAAAAAATGGCACTCTGCTTTGCGGCAGTAGCCTGGAACCTAACCTGCTGTATAAGTGGGGCCCTACTGTACATAAGGTGCACGAATAGTTCTTGAGTAAAAACACTGCAAATAGAGATGGAAAATATGGAACGACCAAAATTCTGTAAGACATTGATTATTGTTCTACAGAAACCAATGTGCCTGGTTTCACCAGTAAGCAAAGGGATGAGGGGAGGTCCTTCCACTTCATTTTCATCTTCATCGTCTATGTGCGAAGGAGGGACTATTACTCCTCGTGGAACAACTGGTTTAGACAACATAGGGAACACCTGCTTTATGAACAGTGTTTTGCAGTGCCTAGTCAACACTCAAGAACTCAGGGAATATTTCTTAGGTAGGTTCTGCTTTTATTTATGCTTTATTTGCTACTATATTCTGATACCTTTCGTTAATCATTATCGTAGCTGTTCTATATTTGTAATAATTTTTATTTCACATTCAAGCTTTGTTTTACCATGTTTATAATTCAAGAGTACACTCTTTAAATGGACTTAATTTCTTATATTTGTATTGGCAGATTTTAACTTCCAGCAGGATATTAACAAGGATAACCCATTAGGCATGGGAGGTAAACTAGCCATATCATTTGCCATTCTAATGAAACTGCTGTGGTCTGGCACAATCCCTTCTCATGCACCTACAAAGCTCAAGTCTATGATGTCTATGAAGGCCAACCAGTTTTCTGGGTTTGCCCAACATGATGCTCAAGAATTTATGGTGGAGCTGCTGGATGGATTGCATGAGGTAACACTAATTTTTTTTTTTTATGCTCCTCTGTCCTGTAGTATAGCTTGAAGCTGAGCATTTGTACGATAACTTGAGGATGCCTATCGCATCTGCCTGACTTTTCAAGAGTTGTGCATCTTAATAAAATGAAAGTTCATTCTGTCATTAAGCAGTGTGTATTTGCCCATTTTAGAGCCAGTGTTTGTGCAGTATCCTACTTAACATTCTGGCGTAATAACAGATTCGCAGAGCTGCATCAAATTTACTAATATTATCTAATTGTATACATGTATAATGCACTGTGTAGCCTCATATCAAAAGCATGCCAATTTATTAATCATAAGGTGGCTAAAAAGACAAGTACAGCAAAAGGAGATCTTTTGTAGCTTTAACCCATGTGAGGCTTTGAGTATGTAAAGGGGGATCTCTGAACTGTAGTATCTGAGTGCCGCTGGCACAACAGTGATAGAATGAATAATGGTGAAAGTGTTTCTTCTTTTTTTGGGTCACCCTACCTTGGTGGAAAATGGTTAGTGTGTTAAAAAAAAAAATATTTATTACAAAATATCTGAAGTGAAATGAGGTGCTGGGTGAGGTTGAAGTGGGATGTACCATCTGGTGCAAGTGATGTGACCTATCAGTGTCAAGGTGAGGGGATGTGGCCTGGATCTCAGTTATCTATGGAGGCTGAAATGGAACTGTACCAGAGTATAGTGATACTAACACTTCTATATGGGTGTGAGACATACAATATGAATGTCATAGTTGAGAGTAGTTTGCTGTGAATATTGTGCAAAGGATTCCAAGTGTAGAAATTGAAGATAGTGTGGGGTCACTAAAGGGTATAATTTAGAGGGATGAGGTGTTGAAGTGGTTTGAGTATTTACAGAAGATAGAAAGGGATGGGAGGACAGTGTGTGTGTATACAAATCTTGGGTAAAAAGTTAGTTGGAGAAAGGGGAAGGAGTTTTAGGGTCTTGAGCATCCAGCAGCTTGTATAGTCATATTAGATGGAAGTGAATGGAGACAAGTGGTTTTTTCAGGAATGGGCAGTTGGAGTGTAAGTAGGGTAAAATTTATGAAGGGATTCAAGGAAATTAGTTAGCTGAACTCGAATCCTCGAGGTGGGAAGGGTTGTGTCTACACTCTGAAGGAGGGGTGGCAATGTTACACTGATTATTAGTGTCCCTTGAATGCTCAGTAGGTCAAGGCTTCGACATATAGAGCAGTATGCCTTTTCTGGCTTACCGTAGAAAATATAAAAATCTTCAAAAAAAAAAAAAAAAAAAAAAAAAATTATAGTAACTTTTTTATTAATTTTTCTTATAGGATCTGAATCGTATCAAGAAAAAACCATACATGGCAGAGCCTCCAGACCTTGATGGTTGGCCAGACAGGAAGGCAGCAGAAGAGTCGTGGAAGCTACACAAGATGCGTAATGACTCCATTATCGATGATCTTTTTAAAGGCCAATTCAAGTCGACTCTAACATGCCATGAGTGTAACAAAGTGTCCGTCAAATTTGACGAGTTCTGCTGCCTCTCCGTACCCATTCCAAAAGATCAAAAGGTACATAATTCTGTGATTCTTTACAGCATTTAAGCAGCGCTGTATGGCCCTTGTGGTTTAGCGCTTCTTTTTTTATTATAATAATACAGCATTTAAGTTGGGGGGGGGATAAACTCAGGCCCTTGATAAAATTTCCTCCCCACAGACTTCAGTGCATTAGCTACTTCACCCTCTTTCATTCTACCCACTGTCTCTCCCTTCCTCCATATTCACATATGGCTCTACCTCACTCCTATAAAGTATTATACCTCTTGGGTAAAAAGTTAGTTGGAGAAAGGGGAAGGAGTTTTAGGGTCTTGAGCATCCAGCAGCTTGTGTGGTCATATTAGATGGAAATATGCTGAAATAACTGCCTCCCTCTTCTCATCAACATTCAGTAATTCCTCAGAATGTTACATCCAACTTCCAATCTAATGGCTTCCCTCTTGTTTTTAACTGTTAAATTTGTTTGTTCCCAGAGCTTTCTCAACTTATTGATCTCCAAAAAAATTTCTTATTCTCAAGAAAATTTTATTTATGCTCAGTTAAAATAAACTCAACTTGCTTTGAATTGCAATTTGTAGTCTGTCTATTTACAGGTAGTTCAGGTGATCTTCTTTTGGAAAGATCCATACCAGAAGCCAAAGAAATTCTTTATTCGAGTGCCTGCTAATGCTGCAATTGAAGAACTAAAACAAGAGTTGTTTGAGCGAACTGGTGTCCAAGTATCTTCTATACAGGTACAACCTATTGAGAAAATATTTATGTTTAGATAAGGAATACATTTTTTGATTAAAAAAAAAAAATTTAAAATAAAATGGGTTACACATCAAAATGTTTAATACTGTCTAAAAGTACAGTATATTTGAAGAGAGATTTCACTGTGATACTGCTAAACTTGAAGCCACTGTGGGCGTGATGTACTCTTCTCAAGGTGTTATGAAACTTACTGGTGATAGTCTGTAATGGTTTACATAAAATTATTTCACTTTGTGCTGAATTCTAATTTTATTTTTGTTTTAAGAGGTTAGCATATTGCAATGAAAGTACAGGTTTATTTGTATCTGTTGTGACAACACACTCTTGATTCTGAGCTGGGGACCAAGGACTTGAATAATAATAATGAAAGGGGTTAAAGTAGCTAGGATTGATAGGATCAAAACAGAAATGTTAAAAGCAGATGGGGATATATTTTTGGAGTGGTTTATACTTTTCTTCAGTATATGTATGAGAGAGAGGAAAGTACCTAGGGATTAGCAGAGGAGGAAAGGAGGACAAAAGAGTGTAAAAGTTATAGGGAAATAAGCTTGTCGAGTATTAAGGGCAAAATGTAGAGCAGGATCGCCAATGAATGTGGAGGCTTTAGGGAGGGTAGGGGATGTGTAGACCAAGTGTATGAGAATATAGTGATACTGACACTCTTATATGGGTGTGAAGCATGGGTTGTGAATGTTGCAGCAAGGAGGAAGCTGGAGGCACTGGAGATGTGTTGAGGATGGTGTGTGATGAAAATATTATGCAGAGAATTTGGAGCTTGGAGATTAGATGGTATGGGGTTACTAAAATTAGTATCCATAGAGCTAAGGAGGGGTTGAGGTGGTTTGGATATTTAGAGAGGATGGGATGACTTGGAAGGTTTATGAATCTGTAGAGAAGGGAGACAGAGTAGGGGGGTCTCTTGGAAAGGCTGGAGAGAGGGGGTAAAGGAGGTTTTATGTATATGGAGCTTGGACATCCAGCAGGTGTATGTGTGTTAGATAGGAGTGAGTGGAGATAAATAGTTTTTGGAATTTGATGAGCTGTTGGAGTGTGAGCAAGACATTTGTGAAGGGTTTCAGAGAAACCGGTTAGTCAGTTTATTATTTAGATGATTTCTGTAAAGAATATGTCACAGCTGTAAAAGTTTTTTCTCTTGCAGGTTTTTGAAATGTTTAAATCAAAAATTCACAAAATATTTGCCAAAAACTCGACACTTTCGTCAGTTGTCCCCAGCGATACTTTAATGGCCTTCGAAGTTTACAATCCACAGCAGGTTAGTGATGTACAATATTTTCATTTAAAATGACATTTATCCTTTAGGGAAAGACTAAAATTTTTGGTTCCTTTCCTGTCTTATCTTTGCTAGAATGCTTTTTTGACTAAAAATTAGGGTAACGGGGTTAATCAAATTCTATAATAGGGAGAATTTTTGTAATATATCTTGTTTAGGGCACCTAATTTCTCTGGGTTTTCTATTCATTAGATGATATTGATCTTGCATAATTATGATTCTGTATTTAAATTTTGTTTGCTTAATGGTAAAAGAATGACATTTGTATAATGGATATGAAACAATTGTGAATATTTGTCGCTATTATTTGATAGGTGGGAGAAGCAGTTGTGGAAGTAGCAGTGGTGCAGCGCATGATGATACCCAGTCCACCAACACGCTGTGCTTACTGCTCCAGAAATGCTGTTTCAGGAACCAAGCTGCGCCGCTGTACTAAATGTTTCCGGGCAGGATACTGCCACCAAGCCTGTCAGAAAAATCACTGGGCTACTCACAAGGTAAGTTTTTTTTTTTTTTTAACCCAGTCATCTCCCACCAAGGTAGGGTGACCTGAAAAATAAATACTTGCTCACTTGTTTATTCAATTATTGTCTTGCCAGAAGTGTGCTGACATTACAGCTCAGATAACCATTTGAACTGCAACATCCCCATTCCTCCTTCAGAGTGCAGGCACTGTACTTCTCACCACCAGGACTCAAGTTCAGCTAACTGGTTTCTCTGAATCTTTTCATAAATGGTACCTTGCTCACACTCCTTCAGTACATCAAATCATAAAAACCATTTGCCTGCACTCACCCCTATCTAACATGCTTGCAATGTGTGGTGAATATTATGCAGAGAATTCAAAACATAGAAAGTAGAAGACTGTGTGGGGTCACCAAGGGTATAATTCAGAGGGCTGATGGATTGCTGAGGTGGTTTGGGCATTTAAAGAGAAAGGAAGATAGGATAGGATGACAGAGGTTGTATAAATCTGGGATGGAAGGTAGGAGGGGTAGGGGTTGTCCCAAGAACAGTTGGATACCGGTATGGGGTAGAGGTGGCTTGAGTACCAGCTGGCTTGTTTGCGTGTTAGATGGCAGTGAAGGAGATCAATTGGTTTTCATAAGACGTACTATGCGGGAGATGGCTGATGAGGTAAAAAAAAAAATGAACATTTATTAATAACTTGAAAACACTTGTAAAACATGTTAACACTGTAAATTAAGGACCTGTAGACAGAACAAGCAAGTCTTTAATTTATTTAATTGTTTTCTTAGAGCTTTATCAAATTGCATTGAGAATTAAGCACTCTTTCCTTATAAAGACCAACAAAAGCCAGGTGCTAAAAGAAAGGTTGAGTCAGGTGATGGGGAAGGTGCAGGTAAATATAGTATGTATATACTGTACCTACCTCAGTGGGAGATGGCCAGTGTGTTTAAAAAAATTGGGAACAGTGTTAAATGTGAGGCATTCCTATATAAATTATATAGCATATTTAATTTTTATTTCTTTTAGTTACACTGCAAACTTGTTCCTGAGCCAGTTGGGTGTCCCTTCATCTTATCTCTTCCTGAGAGCCACGCCTCATACTCCCGCCTGGCCCGCATCATGGAGGCTTATGCACGATACTCGGTGGATATCTTCCAACCCCCTGTATTTCACAGTTCTTCTCACAGAGGAAGTACCTCTAGTGTGGAACTCTCGAGTGAAGAAAATGATGACATGGAGGTAAAGAAATAAGATTTAAAAAATTTTTGTTATCAGTCCCTTTTTCCATAGAAAACATCAACCTGCATTGTTTTTCACTAGAATGATTAGATACCATCCCCATATCTTTTTGAAAATAATTTAAATAAGCTTTTCAGGAAAAAGTCTAGAAATATTTCTTATAAAAAAATTAATAAATCCAGAAGAATAGATTATGGCACAGTTTTATTTGCCATTTTGCACATCGTATGTCAAAAATTCCAAAATATTTATGGAAACTTTAAATCCTTTATCATTTATGTTGAGGACAAAAGAAATGTATAACATTATATTTTACCCAATTTTCTCTACCTACCCATTTTTGTATATGTATTTAGTCTTTCTGTACTAATTCCATAGAGTATAATGTATACTGACCTCAGAAAATTTACAAATTGTTGAAATGCTTTCCAGGTTGAGGATGGGGAGCCTGAGGACAAGATAGATAGCAATGATATATTAATGGCTGGGGAGAGTTCTCAAGGAGATGGTCCAGGCCATTGGGCAGATGAAGGGGCTACTGGAAGTGATGGTGGTGGTTGTGACAGTGGTGGAGGCAGTGATGGTGGAGGCGGTAGTGGCTGCGATGAACCTCCACAGCTTTCTACTTCCCCTAGTGTTAGAGCTGTTCAACCTCGAGGAAGTGTGCAGCTGCCGTCAGCGACGCAATTATTTGTTATTCGCCCTGTGAACAACCGTGCCCAGAACCTTGCATCTCCGGCAGGAGAAACTCTCAAGGATAGAGGTATTGCAGCTACTTCATAGTCTCAAGATATTAGTTCAGATGACTGGAATTATTTTATATAATAGCATATGATTATTGACATCAGAAAGTATCCCAGGCATATGAAATACTGTTAATTGCCCATTTTCCTAATAACGTCTATTAATTATACGAGTGAGTGAATTTTTAAAATGAAAAGAGCATGCATTGTTGACTCTGGCTATTTAATTTGGTACATTAATATTTATTTATGTTGCATGTTTTTTGCTTTTATTATTTATTGAGTTTATCTTTGTTTTCATATGTATTTTTATGCCTGTGAATGCTGAATGATCAACATGGTCAGTGCTTCATAAAAGTCATAATTGCTCTACAGTACCACTACATGCAGTTTTGAATGCTAAGTCACTTAGAGATGTTTTGAGAATAAAGAAATGTGTTTCTTTTGTTTACTAGGCACGTCTATATTTGTGCACTTCCTGCACATTGGATTTTGGTATGGTGGTAAACACACTTGATGCTGTTGGGTCGCACATTGAATCTGCTGCTCTCGGTATCCATTGGAATATAATGTGTGATCCCATTGCTTTTATGTGAAATTCCTATTGTTTTTTCAATAGCACTTTTTTTTCCTGTTTGCAGGAGATGAACCTCTAGATTTGAGTGACAAATATTACATTGCCATGGATTGGAGAACAAATGAGAGACTTCCAGTCCATTGCCTTGTACAAAATAAAGAAGTAAGTATTTTACTTTTATTGATAGCAATCACTACTTGGCCATTTGTAAAAGTATTTCAGGAATGCTACCTTGGTAAAAATTATGGTGTTATTGCCATTCACTGGAATTTTTTTATAGGCAGTTGCCTGTAAAATTACCAGCTTAAATTCACAGGTAAAAAAAATTGCATTCTAATAGTAAGAAATAAATAATTAAAGTTCTGTATTTTTATTTATTTTTTAACACATCAGTCGCCTCCCAAAAGAGGAAAAACATTCACCATCAGTCACTTAGTCATTCATCACTATGTTACCAGAAGTGCACTAATATCACAGTGCAGACGACTTTGAAACTGTAGCATCCTTATCCCTCCTTCAGAGTGCTTGCGCTGTACTCTCTACCTCCAAGACTCGAATTCGGCTAACTGGTTTCCATGAATTCCTTCATAAATGTTACCCTGCTTACCCTCCAAAATTACATCGTCATGAAAACCACTCGTCTCCACTCCAATCTAACAGGCTTGCATAAGTCTTTTGGGTGATCGAGCTCTCGGCACTCAAAACTTCCTTTACCCTCTCCTTCCAGCTCTTGTTGGGACAATCCCTACCTCTCCTGTCTTCCACCTCTGATGTATAGTAGTATGGAATACTAAAATTTTTGCTGATACTAATCCTCAATTTTAGGCCTAAACCAATACTATCAAAATCAGCCAGTACTTACCAGTACCAAATCTGATGCCATCATAATTAGCTGATATTAACCGATAGTTAGGGCTGATAGTGATATTGTCAAAATTAGCTGATATCCACCAGTGATGATACTTTGGTACACCCTTAGCAGTATATATTCTGTCATTCTATCCTGCTCCATCCTCTCTAAATGCCCAAACCACCTCAACAATCCCTCCTCGTCCCTCTAAATTACACTTCAGTTCTTTTTTATACACTTAATTAAAGTTTCTTGTGTATGCATTATTTAAAGAAATATTTTCTTGGCTAGGTGTTTTGTTGGTATAGAGCTTTATATTTATTTCTTGACAGTATTATGCATTGGGATTAGTGGATTCAAGAACTGTTAAAACTGGCTACTGGTATGCGTCAAGACTGCTTAGACACACAAGCTTAGTTTAATGTGCTAGCTCTCTTCTGGTTCTTAAACTTGTGTTTTAATGTAAAAAATAAGCTCTTTGCTGGGAACCTAATTGTTACTGCATAGATATTCAAGGTATTGAAAGGTCATGGAACATTATTTAGTATAAGCGGAAAATGTTTCTTTTGGAAAAAAAAGTCACCTCTAGACTAATGACAGAAACTGTTTTACAGGTAGACTGTGAGACTGAGGGTTCATATTCAGTCCAGAGAAATCAGCCAACTAGTTTAGAAGCTTGTATTGAACTCTTTACCCAACCAGAAAACTTATCGGAAGGTGATTCTTGGCGTTGTCCGAGGTGAGTTGAGGAAAATAGTGTTGCCATGCTTGTTTCAAATACATTTAGGAGTAAGTTTGAGCTTGTATGTAGCATTAATAAAGTTAATGTTATCATGCCAAAGTAGCATTAACACTGAATATTGCTTTTTGACACAGGCTGTGAATTTCTTTTATATTAAATTACCGATGTTAAGAAAGATCTAATGTATATCCAAGAGAATTTGTGTAATGGTTGTGTATTGCATTGTCAACAGATGTAAAAAGCCAGTAGAAGCGACTAAGCAGATGAGTGTGTGGAGGTTACCGCATATTCTTATCATACAGCTCAAGAGATTCTCCTTCAAATATGTCCTTTATTCTGACAAGATTGATAAGTTTGTACAATATCCAGTGAGGTAAGCATGTCTATATACATATCCAGTAAGAATGTCTATATAGATACTGGTGAGGTAAGCATGTTTGTGTACAATACCCAGTAATGTCAGCATATGTGTATACAGTGGACCCTCGAGTTCCGAACTTAATCCGTTCCAGGAGCTAGTTCTAAAGTCGCAATGTTCTAAAAATCGAACCAATATTTCCCGTAAGGAATAATAGAAATACAATTAATCCGTTCCAGAAACCCAAAAATATTCACAAAAAAAAATTTTTTTTATAGAGATTACATTATAACATACATAGTCAAACATACATAGTACGATTAGTAATAGATAAATAAACATATAAAATAACATTTTTACTTGCCTTTATTGAAGATTGTTGATGGCATCTGGACGATAGGGAGGAGTGAGGGAGCACTTATTGTTTGTGTTACGGCCCCCTGCCAAACTAGCGGTTAAATAGTTAACCTGCCGGCCGGCAGTACCACTGGGTACGTCATCAAACCCATTGTGGGGACTGCTGAGCCGGCCTTAGCAGCAGTAAGTACCCAAACACCTCACAGTACGCATCTAAGCAGTAGGTACCTGAACACCTAATGGTACACATCTACTGGCTTTAGAAGCAGTATGTACCTGAACACCTCACGGTACGCATCTAAGCAGTAGGTACCTGAACACCTCACGGTACACATCTACTGGCTTTAGAAGCAGTAAGTACCTGAACACCTCACGGTACGCATCTAGGCAGTAGTTACCAGAACACCTAATGGTATACATCTACTGGCTTTAGAGGCAGTATGTACCTGAACACCTCACGGTACACATCTAAGCAGTAGGTACCTGAACACCTAATGGTACACATCTACTGGCTTTAGAAGCAGTAAGTACCTGAACACCTCAAGGTATGCAGCTAAGCAGTAATTACCAGAACACCTTACAGTATAGATCTACTGGCAGTAGAGAATATTCTCCTGCCCATCTTTTGGTATTCTACTGGCTTCTACTGATTTTAGAAGAGCCGCTCACCGCAGCTCACTGAGTCTGATGGCCTCAGTTACTTGACGGCCGCACTCAGTGAGCTTGCAGCGTGGTGTTCTGCTAGTAATTCATCGGACCACCTTGCGGTGTGTCAACTGGTCTTGAAGGCGGTAGATAGTACTCACCAGACCATCTTATGGTGCACTTCTACCGGCCTTAGAGAGTATTTACAGGACTACCAGTGATGTCTGCGGACCCATCGCCTACGCTGGTCAACTGTGGGCTAAGTCAACTGATGCTGTTTTAGTGGGACATTACATGAAGAAAAGGTTGGAGTGTTACACTGAACTGGGCTAGGACCGTAGTGTGACACTTAGGGAAGTATGATGGAGTGGAACACTGAGATATGCTACAGGACCGTAGTGGAACACTGAGAAGACAAGGGTGTCGTGTGACACTGAAGATGGCCTGGTTGTAGTGTACATTGAATAGTATCATGTGACTGGTCTCTGATAAGAAAGACACTGTGGGTGATAGTGTGCGATGCAGAGACAAGGGTGTCAAGAGTGACACAGTAGAGATATTGTGTGTGACGCAGAGAAAAGGGTGTCGTGTGACACGGAGAGTAGGAGTGTCGTGTGACACAGAGAAAAGGGTGTCTAGTGGACACGGTTGAGCAGGAGCGTCATTACACGGAAGAAAGGGTGTCAAGTGACACAGTTGAGAGGGAGCGTCACAACACACCATGGATAAGTGTCGTGAGAGACACGGAGCATCATTGGGGTGTCGCGAGACACGGAGTTGACTATAATTTATTATTATACAAATGTTATTTATAATTTATTATTTTAGCATAGATATATATATTATTATTTTAAGATGCTAATAATTTATTATTGTAACTTGTATATATATTTTAAATACTTCCTAGACCAAAGATTGTGTGTTTTTTATAATATTAAAGATTAATTTATTTTAATGCTTTATTTATGTATCCCGAACTCTCTATTACAAAACGAGTAAAACTTACCATCTTTAAAAATTACTTTTTTTGTAATAGTTTGGAAGGGGAATGCCCTTCTATGAAGACTTTAGGTAACAAGTCCTTAACCCTTTCAGGGTCAGCAGGCTCTCTCCCAAACTCGTTCTCAGGTTCGAAAAATTTTTTGAAAAAAAAAAAAAAAAAAATCTTTTGAAATGATAGAGCATATTTTTGTGAGTGTTATAGGCCAAAAAAAAAAAAGAAATTGTTGAAGGGAGCATGGGGTTGTGTAAACAACATGGCTGGATGGCTGGCTGGCAGGCAGGGAGGCTGGATGGCTGGCTGGCAGGCAGGGAGGCTGGATGGCTGGATGGCTGGCTGGCAGGCAGGCAGGCAGGCAGGCAGGCAGGGAGGCTGGATGGCTGGCTGGCAGGCAGGGAAGCTGGATGGCTGGCTGGCAGGCAGGCAGGGAGGCTGGATGGCTGGCTGGCTGGCAGGCAGGGAGGCTGGATGGCTGGCTGGCTGGCAGGCAGGGAGGCTGGATGGCTGGCAGGCAGGGAGGCTGACTAGCAGGCAGGGAGGCTGGATGGCTGGCAGGGAGGCTAGCTGGCTGGCAGGGGGGCTGGCTGGCTGGCAGGGAGGCTGGCTGGCTGCCTTCGCTTTATACGTTTTCACTTTACACATAAACATGTCTGTCTATCTTTGTCTGCTTGCCTCTGTCTCAGAGAGAGCCACTAGTGAACCAACATGTATTACACATGACGCAGTGGTCACTGCGTCACATCTGAGTCCTGATACGTATTGCTTGCCAGTCTGGATTTTTTGGGTTATCCTAAGTAATTTACACTATGTATAATTGTATTTGTGTTTACCTGATCTGTGACCAGGCCTCATGGTGGATCAGGGCCTGATCAACCAGGCTGTTACTGCTGGCTGCATGCAATCAAACATATGAACCACAGCCTGGCTGGTCAGGTAGCTAGATAGCCAGCCAGATAGCCAGCCAGCCAGTTAGTCAGGCAGCCAGCCAGCCAGATAGCCTCCACTCCCACCATCCACTCCCACCACCACCATCCACCACCACCATCCACCACCACCATCCACCACCACCATCCACCACCACCATCCACCACCACCATCCACTCCCACCATCCACCATCACCACCATGGTAGCTTATTTCACAATCACACTTAATAAACAAGCACCAAACACAATGAATTAATTGTGAAATGTTTAAATGAGTGGCAGGTTAGTGTTCACTCAAGCATCAACAAAGCCAGACTGGCTCACGAGGGACGCGGACAGAGCTGGTTGGCGGACAGGTCCGGTACCCGGTGGTTCGAAAGACGGGTAGAGTTCGATACTCGGAAAAAAATTGCTTAAAAAAAAGCGTTCGAAACTCAAAATGTTCGATAGTTGGTAGGTTCAAAACTCGAGGGTCCACTGTACTGGTATGTACAATATCCAGTGAGGCATGCAAGTTAGTATATATACACAGTACCCAGTGTAGTAAGCAAATTAGTATGTGTATGCAATACCCAGTGTGGTAAACAAGTTCGTATGTGTGTTCAGTACTCAGTAAGGGAAGTATGTTTGTATGACTGCCTGTTTGTAATTACAGGAGCAGAGCTTTGCTTGTGGTGTCCGTCTTCATTGTTTAATCTATTATCTTCTTCTTTTAACAAACCGGCCGTATCCCACTGAAGCAGGGTGGCCCAATAAGAAAAACAAAAGTTTCTCTTTTTAACTTTAGTAATGTATACAGGAGAAGGAGTTACTAGTCCCTTGCTCCTGGCATATTAGTTGCCTCTTACGACACACATGGCTTACAGAGGAAGAATTCTCTTCCACTTCCCCATGGAGATAAGAGGAAATAAACAAGAATAAGAACTAGTAAGAAAATAGAAGAAAACCCAGAGGGGTGTGTGAATATACAGTGGACCCCCGGTTAACGATATTTTTTCATTCCATAAGTATGTTCAGGTGCCAGTACTGACCGAATTTATTCCCATAAGGAATATTGTGAAGTAGATTAGTCCATTTCAGACCCCCAAACATACACGTACAAACGCACTTACATAAATACACTTACATAATTGGTCGCATTCGGAGGTAATCGTTATGCGGGGGTCCACTGTATATGCTTGTACATGTAAAACAATTACAGGCTTCCGTTTTACACTCAGTTGGCAGGACGGTTGCTGTCTACCAACCTACTACCTTAATCTATTATACAAGTTTAAAATTTCTAGTGGTTGTAGCATTTATAATTAAATATCTTGGTTTACAAAACTTGAGTAAATCAGATGTGCCTTCCAATGTTTGAGGCAAAAAATTGGGGTTACTTCGTTTTTTATTCAAGGAAAGTACTTTGATATAAATAAAATATTGATGCGATTTTAAATTCAATTTTGTTTTGTGATAATACAGTATGTTTCACTTTTTTCTTGCATCATTAGTATGCACATGCATGTGTGCATGTGCATACTATTGAAAATATAATGCATAGATGTTAAGTGTCTTATCTCTTTCTTACTGGCAGAGGGTTGGATTTGCAGCCTTACATGTCAGCAGAGCCTGAAGATGGTCCTGCCCTGTATGATTTGTATGGTGTTATTAACCACATGGGCCGTCTCTTGGGTGGCCATTATACCTCGTATGCACGGCTGGTATCAAAACATGATTCTCGTCAGTCTGAGATTGGTAAGGTTATCGTTTGTGCTTGTTGAATCTCTTGGATGGATTTGAGGTCTATACCTTTCGTGTTACCTGTACCCTTCATGTTACCTGTCCCCTTAGTGTTACCCGTACCCTATGTGTTACCCATACTCTGCATGTTACCTGTACCCTGCATGTTACCCATACCCTCCGTGTTACCCGTACCCTTCATGGTTATAAGTACATTAGAGTCTTGTATTGTTTTAACATGTTTTCATCATGTCATTTGTTCTTCAGTACACTGAATTTTTCTAAGAGTATACTTTATGTGGAATGTGGTTGAGCCTGGGGAAATGCAATAAATTTTAATTCCACATTTCGACTGGATGTATATATTCTCTTGCTACAAGGGAAGCTTTTCTGACTTGGGAAATGATGTAGGAATTTTGTCACCCTCATTGAGTTGAACTGTATATCACTACCATTAAAGAAAATTGCCCTCACCAATTTTTTTTGTTTTTTTTCCATAACAAGTTGGCCGTCTCCCACCGAGGCAGGGTGACCCAAAAAGAAAATACTTTCATCGTCATTCAACTCTTCACCTCACTCACACATAATCACTGTTTTTGCAGAGGTGCCCTCACTATATTCACTAATATTCTTAACACAGGAGCTTATGTGCCCACTCTCTGCCAAATCTACCACAACTCTCACATTTCAACCCATACACACCAGCCTCACCCCTTCCATATCTACTCTTGTCTCTGCATGCCTATTTCCACTCGCTGCCATCACAGCAGTGATTGCTACTGAACCCACTAATACTACCACCACATCATCTCGCAGGTTTGTCCTCCATCCTCGTTCCACTCTCCATACAAGCCACTATTGTCTTCCTGTCATCTGTTACCTATATTCAACCACTTATATAACCATAAAGCCACTCGCCCTTCCTTCCCCAGTCAGTACCCTGCAGTATGTTCAAGATAGCAAACCTTAGATTAGCATTCAGGAACTTGACAGCACAGTCTTTCAGAACTTTGTACATATACATATGCTAGGCCAATCATTAAGTATGTAAACATAGTGTGGAACCCCTAATTGATCAAACATTCAGAACCTCAAAAAAGGTAAAAGGTGGTTTGCAACCAGACTAATCCCAGAAATAAGAGGAATGAACTGTGAAAAGAGGTTGAAGAGATGGAAACAAAAATTTACAAATAAATTTTTTGATGTGCCCTAAGTTTGGGACACTAACCTTAGTTTTGCTGTGAGTTATTCAATCAATATATTTCCATATAAATGTGTGGTTTTGAAAAATGAATATGTTTTTTTTTTTTTTTTATATTCTACTATAATGCCAGGGAAAATTTTTAGTTTATTGAATTGTGTTACACATTTAAGGGAGGTAATATTATACATAATAGTTTTTTTTTTTGGCATGTTATTTATTGTAAATGTAAAACAATCAGAATATATTGTTTAATTTGTAATCAGTTTGTCCAGTTACAAAAGGGTAACCTCCACTTCTCATTTTTGTTTGAGTGCAGTTTGTTATATTTCTTCATGAGGTTCAGTCATTAAGATGAATAATTTATAAACTGAAACATTCCAAACCAGTTTACATGTTACTTTATAGGTAGAATTTTAGGTGAACAGCTTACCTTTAATGAGTATTGACAGTCGTCTATTATTTATTAGTTTGCTGAAATGCTAATATACATTCCTTTTTTTTTTATTAGATTGGAGGTTGTTTGATGATAGCAGGGTCACCTTCTGCCACGAATCTCGGGTTGTCAATGAACAAGCCTATCTGCTGCTCTACCGACGGAGAGATACACCCTTTTCAATGCACAGACCATTGCCTCCCCCAGCTCTTGCTGCCCTAGAGGAGAATGGGTTTGATCAAGGCCCAGATATTGAGGAAGCAACACCAATGTCCATCTCCTCTATATCTCAGTTGTCCTCTTTGTCCTCCTCTCAACCTTCATCCTCCAGTCTGGAAGGAGAGGAACAGCTTAGTACTGCTCAGGAAGAACTTGACTAAAAAGTGATTTTTCAACTAAAAACAAAAAGGTGCATGTTGGCTTGTGTGTCAGTGATGTGCGAGGATGTGGCTCACATTTTGTGACTACAATTATTATTATTTTTAATTTCTGGTTGTGTAAAGTTTGTTGTAATATATTTCAGTGTCTTATGTTTCCTAAATCAGTCATTCTAGTTTGATATTTCCTTAAAAGGATTTTTAACATTTGTCCAGATCTGTGTGATAAATCATATAATATAGCTTTTCTTTTTATATGTTGTGCTTTGCACTGAGTATGCTAAATGCCATTTATAGCAGCGGTAGCCATGCATTTGTCAGCAAGCACCATAATTACTGCACGTCACTAATACCATCTTTTGCCTCCTCGTCTGAGTGCGATATTTCATACATCTTTTCAAAACATATCCACATACTGTTAATACTCTCACTTTTCACCTACATGTCATTCTACATGTACACTTATAATCGACATGCATTCATTAACTGGTAAGCTTTCACATTTTTTCTTAACATTTCCATTCCAGACCACTTGAGCAATTTTTTTTGTCTTCAGTAGACCTTGTCAGTACGCATCATTTTCTTGTGGCTCTAGAAATCTTTTGGGTGAAGAAAGTACTATGTTTTACCATTCTCCAGGAATTCATTAATACAGTAATCCATACATTCATTGCTACAAATGCAGATTGCTTTTTTTACATTGTATAATTTTGACAGTGTGTTTTTATTTTAATCAGAGGGTAGCCCTTGTGGCTTAGCGCTTCTTTTTGATTATAATAATAATAATAATAATAATAATAATAATTTAATCAGAGGGTAGAGCTAAACCTGTAATGGCTGTATACCACCTGGGAATGGGAGGCAGTCAGGTTTGATCCAAGGAAAAAAGAAGCTAAATCTGGTTCCTTGGATCAAGATCCTTGCCAGCATCTGTGCTGGTGAAGAGTGATAATAGTATAAGCTGTACCACTTTTATCCAACTTTTGCCATAAAAGAAATTCCTTGGTATAAAAAATTTAATTCTTATGGACTTGTGACTGAGAATTCCTGTTGTCATGGTTGAAAGTAAAACTAGTTCTGTATTCCCACATACTCTTGTAAATATTTTCCTATGCGACACAAACAGAGTTTGAGTCTCTGTGATTTGTAAAGTGTTGTGCTAAGATTATCAGAAACTTTATGCAAAGCAGAGTGGCATAATTGTAATTGAGCACTTGACTAAAAAATACAAGAATATTATAAAAAAATCTTTGTGCACTATATTTTGTGTGTAGAAAGAGCAAGGAAGTTGAGGTTTTTAAGGAAAATTACAGTGAATTACCATGCATT